CTCGGAGCCCCAGCCTGGGGCTGCTGTCCACTCGGAGCCGCACGAGCTCCCCCAGGGGTCATCCCAGCCCCGGGGGCGCGGGCTTGAGCGGCAACGGCTTGGACCCCGGTCCCCCGCAGTCCGGACACTGCCAGGCTGGATGTCCGGGACGGGCTTCGCAGTGTCCCCACAAGGACCTCCCCCCCCACCCCCCAGCAGCCCAAGGACAACGTGTGTGGCGGAGCGAGGAGCCGCTGCCCCTGTGGGAGCCGGGCAGTGCCCTCAGAGACACCCGCGGCTCCCCAGCACCGGTGCCCCGGGGGTGCCAGCTCTGGCGGACCCCAGGGTGAGGATCCCGGCAGCTCTTGGCCAAGATTGTGGGCACAGGGGAGCGGAGTGGCATCGCAGTGCCAACTGTGAATTGAGAGGGTGCCAGGGGGCAAGTGGGAATCTGGTGCGGCAGCTGGGCAGGGAGGCTCTGGGGGGTGGGGAACCGCAGGGGCGTTGATGGGGGAGACGGGGTGCCTGAAGGGAAAGAGAGCAGGGGCTCTTGAGAATGGGGGTGCCAAGAGAATGTTCTCCTAGGTTTGGGGAGGGGGAAGCAAACAACCCCTAACTCTCTCACATCCTGGGGGAGAGGGCCGAACTGCTTTGCCTTCTGCTTCGCCCGCCAGGGGAGTGGCCTGGGAGCCCACTGTCTGCTTCGTATCCTCTAAGCCAAAGCCAGAGAATCTTCCCGTCTTCCTCGGAAATTGCTCTGCCATTTCCTCCTTGGCTCCCGATGCCTCCTCACCCAGTGCCCACCTGTAGGCAGGTCCCCTGCAGCTCCTGCCCAGGCTCTATCCCTGTTCCCACCTGGGGTGCTCCACCCAGTCCCAGCACTCCCAGTCTGCCAGTTCTGGCATCAGGGTCTGTTTCTGGGCTTCTCTCTGATGCTAAAAGCGTAACTCCTCAGCCCAGGACGTGCTCCCAAATGCAGAGCCTCCAGGCTCCCTGCTGCCAGCCTCCTGGGGGTGGCGGTGCTGTGGGGAAGGAACAGCTCTAAGACCCTGCACAGAAGGAGCCTGCAGCCCTGAGGCTCCTGAAGGCAGTCCAGTGGGTGCTGGCTTTGCCCACTCTTGCCCCAGCCCCACATTTGCTCTTTCCCCTCTAGGGGCAGCCTCAGCCTGTCTCTGCCTCCTGAGGAATCTGCTCCCACCCGCCCTCAATTCTTTTCAGCCTAGTCGATATTGAGGACGACCCACTGGGCGCCAGACTTGCCCTCACTCAGCACTTGGATATGAGGGTGATTCAGTCTCCTTCTCTGGAACCTTGCGCCCTTCTCTGAATGTCCTCTAGGTGAGGGCTGAAGGGGCATTGCCTGTGGAGAGCCCTCCCCTCATCTGTCTGGACCCAGGTCACCTACCCTGGCATCTTCCTCCAAGATGCCACCAGCTTCCAGCACATGGCCCATGGCAGGAGCGTTCTCTTGCTCAGCTCACCTTCTCAGAAGCCAGTAGCTTAGTTCAGAAGCCAGCTCTGAGGTATGAGGATAGAAGATAGGGAAGCAGTAAGGACACTCTCTGTCCCCTCGCCCACCAGGCTGGCAGCCTCCCCTCTGTCCTGTTAGGCCGCTAGCCTGGGGCCGTGCCCTTGTCCCCTCTCCCTCCCTCCTCTTCCCTCCCATGCCTGGGCACCATGACATCACCACTCCTTCAAGCACCTCTGCCCTCGCCACGGAGGCCAGCTTGACGTGCTTGGCATCTTCTAGGCAAAGGGTCTGGAGTCCAGTGCCATCCCTGGTGTGCTGGCAGCCCCCAACTCTTCCCTCACCCCCTCCTTGAATGCGCCTCTCTGGCTGCAGTTGGGACCTGTCTTGCCCACCCTAGTTGCAGCTGCAGGACCCACCAGTGCCTGTGGTGGGGCAGCTGTGACTGGGAAAGGGGTTGGCCTGAGGCTGACTGCTCTCTGGTGTGGGCATTAGGCTGGGTGGGGTCAGACATAGGCTGGAGAGGGCAGAGTCTGCCTTTGAGCCTAGTCGTCTGGGGTCCTTAAGGAGTCAGAGATCTCATTCTGGCCTCTGCCCTCTGGCATCCCTGCCCACCTTCGTAGGCCCTATAGTTCCAAGTCAGATTCCCCTTCCCCCCAGCTCCCCCAAGGTTCCCCAGACTCAGCTCCCCAAGCCAGGGCTCTGTGTCCCCCATTTCTGCCCCCCCCAGTCTCCCCTTGGCTGGTACTGGTTGGGACTGAGATATGCAAATTGATTTCTGCGTAACTCAGGCCACCCCTCCCCTCCCCTCTGGTCCCCCAGGGGCCGGTGCCTTTATATCCTGATCCTCTCATCCCACTCTCAGGAACACCTGCGGCCCAATCCTTTAAAAAAAAAAAAACTGTCCTCTCCTGCTCCCCTTTGCCTCATGCTGGTTCCAGAGGATCCCTGTGGTACTCCCTTCCTCATCCCAGCAGGGCTCAGCTACTGCTAGTACCTTACCTGACAGGTGTGGTTCTCTCCCTACTTGGGCCCCAGGCCCCCAGGCCCTTGGCTCCCTGATCTATTGTGAATGAAGAAAGGGACTGTGGGCAATAATCAGAGTCCAATGAAGAACCCAGACCAGCCCCCTCCCATGCACACCCAGGCTCCAGCTCCACGCTCTGCCCAGCTTCCCTAGGCCATCCCTGCAGCCTCCCTTCTGCCCCCTCCTAGACTTCAGGGCCTCTCTCTGCCCTCGGCCTTCACCCTCTGGTTCATCCTGAAGTCCCTGTGTCTCTCGGACTGCTTGTCCCCAGACCAGGCGGGCCCCAGCAGGCCTGCAGGGGTCAGCGTTGCAGTGGGCAGGCAGGACAGCGGCAGGAAAAGAGAGAAGGAGGGAGAGGTGACCTTGCAGTGAGCTGGTGAGCAAGGCCAGAGAGGGAACCACTAGGACAGAGGTTAGGTCCTGAAGGCTGCCTGCCCTGCCCCCAGCCCTCTGTGAGCTTGTCCCTGGGGGCAGTAATGCTTGAAGCCTTCTTTTGTCCCACCTGTTAGTGGGCTCTGTTCCCTGCAGGGCAGGGGGCCTTGGCACAGCGGGCCTCCTCTCTCAAGGCAAAGGATCCACGAGATTGTCCAGGCCAACCCTCCACTCACTGGGCACAAGTTAGGGGAAGAGGCTGATGGCGGGTGAAGGAGGTGCAGAAGTTAGGGGTGTGGCTGAAAGGGCAGATCAAGGGTGTGCCCTGAGGACCACCTGGGTTAGAGGCCAGGGCTGGAGCGTGGGAAGATCCAAGGAAGCCTGACTGTGTCCACCTATTTCACCAACAACCTCTCTCCTCCCACCTACCTCCCCAAAGCCTGCCCCATCGGCACACGCTCGAGCCTCCCTGGCCTGCATCCTGGGCTTGGGTCAGAGTCCGGACTGAAGATCAAATGATCTCCCCACAGGCCAGGACACAGTGGAGGACCTGAGGCTGGGCAAGTCTAAAACCCAGAGGGGACGAGGATGGTTTCAATGGGGCATGGGCCAGGACAGCCAGTGCCCCCAAGCTGTTGTGTTACCGTGGAGACAGGCCCCCTCCTTGGCCCTGGTTCACACTGTTCTGTGGCCTTGCAGGGAAGCTTGATCAACAAGCTGCCCGCTTGAGGGCTGGGGGATAGTGGGCAGGGAGACAGCCCCAGAGCCCCTCCTCACACTGGGGAGGGCGTTAGAGCAGGCTGGTTTGAGGTGGGAACATACAGGCCAGTAGGTGACAGGTAAGGGGACAGCTGGAAGGTAGGGCAATAGGTGGGTGCCGGGTGAGCAAAGACAGGTCCTGGGCAGCTGGGTTCTGCTCCTGGCTGACCTCAAGCTCAGGCTTAAGGGGCATTGAGGGCAACATGGAGTGCCCGTGGGGTCTGTCCCCTTGTTATACCCTCTAGCCTGGCCATTGCAGGATGTTGTGTGGGACAGGCAGAGGAGCCGTATATGGTTCCCTCCCCCTCCAGAGTCCCCCCATCCCACTCCCCACCCACCCCCTATTCTCTCAGGGACTTTGAATCCTTATTGAATCTGATGGACCGTTTTTGTTTTCAATAACTGGTTCCCCCAGGGGAGTGAGGCCAAGAACAGCAGGGAGAGGAGCTGGGAGGGGTCACGTGGGGGCGGGAGGCCCAGTCCTGAGCTGATGACCCCCAGCTGGAGAATGAATTGGCTTGATGGCTCCTCAGAGCACTGTGGCATCCCAGGTGGGCATGGGCAGCCCTGTATAGAGCTGGTCCTATAGTGCTCCACAGACAGTGCCCGGCAGGTGGCATATGTGGCCGAGAGGTCAACTTTCTCTTGTCAGGGCAGTGACTGGTCTGGCCAGGTGCCGGCACCAGCCGGTGCCAGGCCCAGCCCGGGTGCCTGCCTGCCTTGCCAGGGAACCCCAGCTGGCGATGCCAGGCGAATTCTGTCAGTTCCATGGGCATGGAGGTCCCTGACCTTCCAGGCAGCAGGGGCAGCCCTGCTGGGCCCTATCCAACTAGTGTCTAGAGGGCAGAGCTTTGGTCTCACCCAGCAGAATTCCCCAAGGGCTGGAACAGAGTTGGCAGACAGCATGGGACCTGTGGAAGGGGCTGGACTGTACCCAGAGCTTGCGCCTGGAATTCCAGGTCCAGTTGGTTGGAAGGTGGGCGGGTGCATCCGGCCTGCTCTGGGCGGTCTCTGCAGCCTCCACCTGGAAGGCCCCCTTGGGATAGAATGGACCAGGAGCTGAGGTATTGTGAGCTGGAACCCCTGCAAAGCTGCATGTTTGGGGAATTGGTATCTTCATGTGATTGAGCCCACGCGTGGAAGGGGAGGGCGGAGCCGGAGGGAGAGGCGCTGTCTGTATGTGTACCTAGTACGTGTGCCGGTGGCAGCTGGATGGCCATAATATCTGCATTCATCTGAGTGCCAGGACCGCTGTAAACAGCAATTAAAGAGTGTATTTGTAGCAAGGTGCGTTCAGGTGCGTGGGGAGCTATGACGGAAAGCTTTAGGGTAGAGCCCCTCCCTAGGCCCTGTACCTGGCCAGGCAGGGCCTGTGTGCCAGGGACCCTGCCTACCCCCTGCCACACCCTCCCACCTGCTGGCATGGCCACGAAGTCCTCGTCTGCTGGGAGCAGGGCCTTACCTGGCTGTATGGCATACATGGGTGTGAACGGGAGTGATCATGGGAGCTTTCATGTGTACAGATACAAGCGTTTCCATGACGGTGTGGGGCTGTTAGCATGTGTGTATGTGTCTGGGTCAAACTGAGATCACCTGTGTGTTTGTGACTAGGTCTGTTTCTGTGCATGTGTGTATGCACTGCTTCCCCAGGCCCTAAGAGGAGGGCTGCCATCGTCTCTGTAGTGACCCTGATAGTGACAAACCCTGATAGTGACAAAACAAAAGATGCTGGTAAAACAGGCATGTGCTGCTGGCCCTGCTCCTTCAGTGCCCTTCCTGGAGTGCAGAAGGCTGGGGGCTTCCATGGCTGACCGAAGGAGAAATGGGGGTGACTGTTCTGCCCATTAGAGCAGACAGGAGGGAGAGGTCTGAGCTCCAGCCCCAGTGGGCTCCCATAGTTGCTGCTTGCATCACAGATTGGGGAGAACCTGAGGGCTAGAGAGCCCTCTGGTTCTAGAACCCCCAGGAGCCCCAGGAATGAGAGAGGAATGGTGCCTACCTGTTAGTCCTAGCTGGTTGGTGGAGCATGCACCCTGCCACCAGCCAGGGTAGGCTGGCATGAGGGGTCGGAGGCAGAAGGGGTGCCTGCGTGAGGCTCTGCATGAGGGGAGTGGAGGAGAGAGCGTGCGGCTAATGTGTCCAATTAAATTACTTCAAACCCTGCCGCGGCAGCTGTTCCCGGCGGGGCCCTGGGTACAAATTGGATCCGTCTCATTACCATGGGGTGGTGTCAGCGGGGCCAGAGAGCGGCGGCCAGCATGGCCGGCACATAGCAGGCCCTGTCCCGCTCTGCCGGGCCTGGGCCCGGGTTGGCCCCCTCAAGCATTTTCTTGCTCCAGCACCCCTCAGAGGAAGTGCCCCAGGTCCAGATACTGGGGCTCCCCGCACACCATCCAAGGATGAGGGTTAGGGATGGCAGCCAAGGGACCCTTGGAAACACTTTCTCCAGGAATGGGGGTTTTGTGCTTTGCAGAAGGACCAGTTTAAGGAATCCCCCCCTCAGGTCACCAAACACATTCTGTGTCCTCCCCTGATAATAACAATAGCATGATAATAGCAAGCCTTGTGGAGTGCTCAGTATGTGCTGAGCACTTTACGTATGTGCCTCCAGGGACAGCTTGCTTGAGCTAGGGCTCTGGGGTCAAACAGCTATTGATTTGAATCCTGGCAGAGACACTTGCTGCTGTCTCTGGAGCAGGTCAGTCCACCTCTCTGGGCTTGGGTTTCCTCTTCTGTTAAATGGGTATGATGATGGTTCTTACCTCCCAGGTGGTTGGAGGATGAGGTGAGATAAGGCAGGAAAAGTATTTAGCAGAGAGCCAACCCATAGTAAACACTCAGCCAGAGGCAGCTGTTCTCAAAATTGTCCTGTACCAAGCAATTGATACGTGGGATGAGGGTTCTGGATCCTCCAAGGAGGACATGCCTGCTACCTCCATGGTGGAGGAGTTGGGGAGGGCTTCATGGAGGCAGTGTCAATTAAGTTACCATCAGAATAGCAGAGACATGTGTGCTCACTATGTGCCAGGTGCTGTTCTAAGCACATAACATGCGTTAGCCCCTCCGTCCTCAGAACCACCTTGGGAAGTGCGAACTTGCAGTTAGAAGTAGGTCTGGGATTCCAGCCACGAGCCAGACCTAAGGGTGCGAGCTTCAGATACAGGGCCTTGAGTCCTGAGGGAAGAATAAGAGCTTTGCCATGTGAGCGAGCAGAGGTGAGGCAATCGGTGAGGTGGGGACAGCACACGCAATGGCTCAGAGGTTTGAGGGATGTTGGCCAGTTGAGGCAGCAGTGAGTGCTTGAGCGTGGCCAGAAGGGAGACCTTTGGGGCACAATAGCAGGAAGTGAGGCTTGGGAAGGTAGGTTGGTCCAGATTATGAAGGGGTTGGCATTTTGAAAGAGGAAAACTGAAATTCTTTTAAAAAGTAAGGCATTTGGAGAGCCATGGATGGCTTTTGAGCAGGTCTCTATAAAGAACTTTGAAAGCACGGTAGTGTGGAGGGTGGGAAGTCGGGAGGCAGGCGGATAGATGGAGCTAGAGTCTCAGCGATTAACACATCTGCTCCTACCTCTGCCGGGAGATCTGCAGTGTCCAGCCAGCCTGGGCTCTGCCCTCGGAAAGCTTGCGGCAGATTATAGGCAGTCAGGGGGTAACCAGGTGCAGGTGGGCATGAATGAACACCCTGAGGGGGCTTCCCAGGTGCTTGGGGTATCAGAGATAGCCTCCCAGCAAGGGATATAGAGCCAAAATGGGCAGGCCCAGGGCCCTATGGACACAGTTAGTCCTCTTGAGGATTTGTTCTGTACCCACATAACCCTCCCAGGCATTAGGGCCAGGCCTGGGAGGGGCCACACAGCTCTTGCTCCAGCTGCCAGGCCTGAGCTCCAGAGCCCCACCAAAGCCAACCTGTCTCCATGGCAACTAGGCGGGCCACCCCCCTCTCCATGCCCACGGCCCCTGGCACAGGGGCCCATTCACAGCAGGGCCTAGGTATGTCTTCCCAGTTCCCTCAGGGGTCATCCCAAGGCAAATGCCCTCACACAGAGGCGCTGGCAGCACACATGCATGTTGGCATTTGGGTACGTGTGCACACATGATGTGTGTGTGTGTGTGTGTCCTGCAGCAGGGAGGTGGGGACTGTCTGTGTTGACTACCCACCTTAGCTAGAGATTTGTTCCCCCTGAGTGGGGGTCAGATAGGTGCCAATGACCCTGATGCCAGGATGAACTGTGGGCTCCTGTCTTGGAGATTGGGATGAGAAAGGCAGCCCAGAGCAGGGGCAACTAGGAGAAATGGAAGGTTAGGGAAAGCCGCAAGGGAGAGGCTCCCGGTGGTGCCTGGTGGGTCCACAGACCACCTTGTTCTTTCCATTCATCATGTCATGTCATCTTCACAGCAGTCTTGCAAGGGAGATATCCAATTCACTGCGGTGCAGATGAGGAAATGGAGACTCAGAGAGGTTGAGTGTCTTGCCTGGGTCACTCAGTAGAGCAGGAATAAGATTGCAAGTTGGCCTCACTCCAAAGCCTGGGTCTTAACCACTGGGCTACATTGCCTGGTGCCTCCTTATCCTACTAGGCTCCAAGCCAGCCCGTCTCTCAGCCTGTCTCTCAGAAGGGAGCACTACGAGTTGGTACTGGCTGCAGAGCTGGACTCAAAGGGTGTCCCAGTGCCTCTTCTAATGCTAGGGTATCCCCTAAAGCCTTTGTTCTTCCTGGAATGGCAGGGAGTCTCCTTCCCACCCTGTCTCCATTCTCTCTACTGGCAAGGTGGAGGGATCCTCTCACTCATGGGGGAGGCTCTCAGGAAAAGGGGAGGAACCCCTCTCTCCCTCCTTGGCACCTGCCAGCCCTGGAGGAGCCTGATGAATTGTCTGTGTGCCCCCCCCAACCTCATTCCTCCCTCTCCAGCCCCCGCCTGGTTGGGGAGGTGCGAAGGGAGTGATTTCACAGCCTGTCAGCTGAGGCCTAAAAATACCCAGAACTCTAAGATGCTTGGGCAGGGGGAGGAGAGAGCAGGGACCAGGGATAGGGTGGTGAAGGGTGCAATGGTAACTTGGCCAGAGGAGCCCAGGTGGCACCACAGTCCTGCTCAGGAATGATGGGAGACCCGCTGTCCCCAGGGTCCCCATCTGACCCCATATCTGGCAATGACAGAGGGGGCCAGTGTCTCAAGGGTCTTGAGAGCTCAGCTCTGGCACTCAGACCTAAGGGAGGGCTTAGTCTCAGATAGGAGCCATTGTGGACCCGAGGCCCCCTGGAGCCTCCAGTTGATGCCTCTCTCTCCCTCTCCACCCCCAGGTTGGCTGGCATCTTTGGGCCGTGGGAGCCAGGCTGTGCCTGAGTCTGCTTCCTTCCTGGAGAAGGTGCCTGCTTCTGCTAGGGGAGAGGCGTGAGGAAGGCAGTGTGGATGGGGGTGCCGGCAGGTGCGGGATGTGACGTGCCAGCCACCCAGGCACTAGAAGGAAGCAGAGGAGAAGGGGTGTGGTGGCCCACGTCACTGCCACATGGCTGTGCGCTGCAGCATGGCACATGGCCCCCACAAGTCAACCAGTGCTCAGAGACGGGAACACGTGTATATGTGTGTGTGTGCATGGACCTGCTAGAGTCGGCTTGTTCTGGTGCTGGGATGCTTGTGGACATGTGTGACCCAGCCTGGCTACCTCAGGTAGAAACTGGGTGAAGGCACAGGAGTGGGCGTGGGAGCATGAGCTAACATACCTCACTTCGTGCAGATGCATGGCTATGTGTGTGCTTCCCACGTGGAAACACGATGGTAGGTGTGTCTGTGCAGAGGCACATGAGCACACGTCTGTGGGGCGCCAAGCAGGGGCTGAGAGGGTCCTTAGGGAAAGAATGCAGAGTGGCGGCCAGGGCATAGGGACTCTGGATCAAAAGTAATGAGGCTCAAATCCCAGATGTGCCATGTGCTGACTTACTTTGTGGCCCTGGGCAACTGACTTAACCTTTCAGTGCTTCATTTCCCACCTGTAAAACAGAGGGAATAATAGCACCCTCATGGGGCTGTTGGGAAAATTCGGTGAGTTTATATCTGTAAACCACCTAGAACTGTGCCTGTCACAGACTTAGCACCATGTACGTAGTAGTTCTTCTTCTTATCTTGTCCTACCCTTTGATGGTACAGGTGGGAATATGAAGGCCCACAGAGGGACAATGACCTGGCCAAAGTCACACGGTAAGTTAGTGGCAGAACCAAGACTAAAAACCAGACTCTAACGCCTTAAGACAGGGCTTGTTCAAGTCGTGGACCTCAGGGATTGCAGTCCTGCTGGAGTGTGGGGCTTAGATTGTGTCAGGGCTGTTCTGGGACCTTGGGAACTCAGGGACCTGCACATCTTCAGATAATGTTGAGGGGTCTTCAGGGCAGTGGCCTCAAAATGACCAGCTGCATGAGTCAGAACCATGCCACTGGCTAGCTGTGTGGACTTGGCCAGGTCACCCAACCCTGCTGCGTCTCAGTTTTTTTCCCTATAATGGAATAATAGTGATACATACTTTATAGCGTTGTTGGGATCAAATGAGATCCTGTATGTAATGTCTTAAGTGGCTGGCACACTGTACCTAGTAAGTGCTCAATAATGTTTGTTACAATTATAACCCTCTCACCCTGTGCTCCATAAATGTGATTTCCTTTGGTTCCCTTCCAGCCCCTGGCCACCCTCACTCCCTTCTGCCTGCCACCCCACACTCCAGAGAGCTTTGATCAGGACTGACTTGCTGGCGGCCATGACTTATCTTTGTCTGCTGTTGTTGCCCTTTGCCCAGAAGGGAACAGGACCCACCAGTAGGACTTAGTCCCTGGGCCCTCTGCGTCTGGCCTCATCACTCACTTGACCTTGGACAGGCACCGTTTCCTCTCTGTGCCTTGATCTTCCCTCTGAAAGTGGAGAGGCTGGACACAGCCCCAGAAGCTCCTGGTTGTGTTGCTGTGTGGCCCAGGGGGGCCCCTGGCTCGGCCTACTTGAGGGGGTGGCAGGTTGGCAGGGAGGGAGGTCAGCTGGCTGCCCCGGGTGAGTGGAGCATCTGGGGCCTGAGCCGGCTGGTGGCCTGCCATCATGCCCGCCCGCACCTGTGGCTGCGTAGGAGGGTGTGCAGGCCCGGCTGGCTGGGCACTGACATTGGGGGAAGCTCAAGGACAATGACGTAGAGAAAGCCCTTCTTGGGGCTCTGGGAGCTGCCACTCCAAGCCGTCCTCCCCCGCTCTCCTCCTTCTCCCTGGGGTTTTCCTTCAGCAATTCCTCCTTCCTCCCTGTCCTTCCTCTCCCCTTCCCCTTCCTGGAGTCTTCCAGTATCTCTCTCTCTGCCTCTGCCCCTTCTGTAATCTTGACCATTTTCCGGTGCACCTTCTCACTTCCTCTCCCTCCATAGAGGGGAGATTCCTACCCCTTCCTGTCTCTCTGGTTCCTGAGATTCCTCCTTTCTTCCTTTGATGTGTCCCCATTTTTCTGGCTCCTCCTGGCTCCCTCTGCTGCCCCAGAGCCCAGGTCTCTCTCACTTACTCTGCATGGGCATGTCCAGGCTCCTTCCAGCTTTTTGTCCCCTTGCTCTCTCTCACTTCAGAGTCCCTCCCTCCTCAGAATCCCTGCCTCCCTTCTTCCAGTTCTGTGGAGCTCTTTGCTCCTCCACCAGCATCCCCTGCCCTGACAGGACCCTGACCCAGGCAGTTTCTGTGGCTGGAGCTGCTACCCAGTACCTCCACAACCCCCCTGCCTTCTGTGAGTTGAGAAAAGGGTCAGTCCAGGGCCCAGGGACTGGCAGCCCTGCCTCCTAATTAGCAGGAGGTAATTGCCTGGAAAAAAAAAATTCATTTAGAATGAGACTCCGAGACTCCGAGTTAAAGCTGAGCCAACCAATGGACCCCAGGGAGGAGGAGAGGGGAAGCAGCCCAGGCCCCGGCCTCAGGAAGCCCCTCAGGAGATGAAAGCCCCTATGACTCCCTGCCTGGCTTGTCCCCAGCACCCCAGCCTTAGGGAAGTGGGAAGAGTGCACTGGACTGAGTGTCCCACCGTCTTTGCCTGAGTTCTGGTTCCACTGCTCACTGTGTGACTTGGGGCAAGCCATTTATTCCTTTGAGCCATACTTTTCTCTCCTATAAAATCAGAACAGGGCCATCCCTGCCCACTTCACCCCTCAGGATCATGAGGGTCAATTCAGACAGTGGCTCTGAAAGCATTTGGCAGGCTGTAAAGTGCTACAGAGTGCAAGGTGTTACTCTCTTCCTCCACGTGGCTCTCAGCCGAGAGGTGAGGATGGTGGGGGGCTGGAGTGGTCTTGGAGAAACCTGAGGGATAGTGTGGCCTCTAGGACTGAAAGGATGGTGAGGTAGATCCAGCTGAATGACAAGAGTAAGGGCAGACGATGCGCTCTCCCATGCCCGTCTCAGCACTTGCTGGCTGCAGCAGCCTGAGTGGTCACCTCCCTTTCTGATCCTTACTTTCCTCCTCTGTAGGAGGCTGAGCATGATGCTCCCTCCTGGGGAGGCAGAGTGGCTAGAAGGCTAAATGAGATCATGTTTGCAGAGCTCTTAGCACAGTGCTTGGCATACAGTAAGTGCTCAATAAATGATACATATATCTCATTTAGCTATGTCTGCTGTAATTAAGGGCTATTATCTTGACTCCCTTGACTCCAGAGAAGCTGTGGTTTTGGGTGCTATCTTCAGGTGGTATTATTTGTTTTGTTTTTTGTTTTTGGAAGGGGGAGAATCTCTACAACTCAGTAAGGTTCATATCAAGCAGTCCCTAGAAACACCAAGCAGATCTGCCTCTCAAAGAGCCCCCCACCTGTAGGGTGGGGAATCAGGAGTGGACTGCAATTACGGCATTCTCCTGCAACCTCACTTTTTCCTGGGGGGGTGTGGGCAAAGTTCTTGTTTGGGTCGGGGAGAGGTGTGGAGTCTGTGCTGGGGGAGGCCTTTGTGTTCATCTTGGAGGAACTGGCCCTGCCACAGAGGAAAGGTTGGTGTTTGTTTAAACAAGCCTTCCCCACCCACCTTGGAGGAGGGAGCAGGAAGTTTTGCTTACCCCAGGTCTGCCCACCTGGGTTGAGCCTGCACTGTGACCTGGGCAGCCCCAAGGCAGCCAGGACGCAGTCAGACAGACTGGAGTGTGCGGGTGTCGGGCAACGCTGCAAGCTCTGAGCGCCAGATTGCCCCGGGAGCGGTGAGGGGGCGGCGGGGGCCGGAGAACCGTCTGCCGCTCCTTCCCCGCCGGCCCAGGCCGCCGCTGGGGACCGTCTGTGCGCCCGCCGGGGTGCAGTGCCCGCGCCAGCCACCAGGAGGCAGTGCAGCGGGCCCCGGGAGGGAATGGGGCGTGGTATTTACCACGTTCGTGGGGCGGCCCTTTTTGTCCTGAGTCAGGACTGGGATCTTCAGCATCCGAGGACCTAACTCAAGGAAAGGGGGCTCTTGTCGCTGGTTGCTGCCATAGCTTCAGCTGAGGGTTGATCAGGGAGGCACTGGCAGAGGAAGGCGGAATCACTATGCACAGTCTCTCAGATCCTGCTCGCTGGGAGCTGCGCAAAGGGCGACCTGGAAGAGGGCGCAGCCCCAGGACTGACTTCTGTTTCAGCACCAAGGACAAGGAGCCGCGTGGCCGACAGCTGTTTCAGCACCGCGGACAGCTCTCGGGGGCGGGACACTCAATGGCTCCATCCTAATATTTGCCGTGTAAATGATACCCCTGAATATGATAGAACGGCATGTCGGCCGAGCGCGGTGGCTCAAGCCTGTAATCCTAGCACTTTGGGAGGCCGAGACGGGCGGATCACGAGGTCAGGAGATCGAGACCATCCTGGCTGACACGGTGAAACCCCGTCTCTACTAAAAAATACAAAAAAAAAAAAAACTAGCCGGGCGAGGTGGCGGGCGCCTGTAGTCCCAGCTACTCGGGAGGCTGAGGCAGGAGAATGGCATGAACCCGGGAGGCGGAGCTTGCAGTGAGCCAAGATCACGCCACTGCACTCCAGCCTGGGCGGCAGAGCGAGACTCTGTCTCAAAAAAAAAAAAAAAAAGAACGGCATGTCGTGGAGGGACTCTCAGACCCTGCATTCCAGCCAGGAGGCTTAGGACCAGAGAGTTGAGTGAGTAGCCTAAGGTCACACAACTGGCAAGTGACAGAACAGGATTCAGATCCGCAGTGGTCTCTCTCTGTCCATCTCTCCTGCCCCTGGATTCCCACTAGTTATCTCTGTCCTGAAGCCTCTCTGGGAGCTTCACATTATGTTGCATCCCCCAAGAGCCCTCGAGCTGGCAAAGATTAAGTGTACTTCCCTCCCCAACCATAAGCCCTGGCCATGGATTTGAATCCCAGGATGGAAGATTTCTAGCCCCGGTGGCCTTCACAGCTCCAAGCCTCAGGTGGGAGGGCATTCGGGCAGGTGGCCCGTGAGGAAGCCTATGACTTGGGGAGATAAAGTTGAGTCATCAGCATGAGGAGCTTTTAAGTGCTCTGAGATTCTCAAATGAAACATAGCATACAGTTCCAACCCCAGCTTCTCTGCAGCGTGTATTATTAATAACAATAAGATGCTGATTTAGGCCAAGGCACAACAATGCATTATTCATAGGAGTAACTAGTGGTCAAGGCCCACACTTAATCATCACACGTCCCTGGTCCTGCCTCTGCTCCACATTCCCAGCGAAGAGGCCCCCCCGCCCCCAGTCTGAACCCCTCCTTTCTTGGACTCCGGATGCTCTGACTGACGTGATCATTTTCACAGCTGCTCAGGTGGCTCATCAGCTTTGGGATCAAGGTGGGTGGGGAGGGTGTCAGGTTCCCAGCTAACTCCTGGCTAGCCACTCTTCAGCCTGGGCTCCCAGTTCAGAGCTGGCACCTGGCCCTTTCCATCCTGAATGGCTTTGGCCCTGAGATTTCTGGGCTTAGCAGCTCTCTGGGGTCTACAGATGGCCAGTCTCCCCTTCCCCCTCTTTTGAGGCTGAATACTGAAGCCAGATGCACCAGGCCTCCCTAGGCCAGGAATTGTGGGAGGTAGGAGTGGCTGTGGTGAGGTGAGGTGAGGTGAGGTGAGGAGGTCACTGAGCAGAAGATACCATCACCTCCATTAAATTCAATAATGCATGTGAAACCCTCGGTAAACTGTGGAACACTTTATAAACTGCTCTGCACTGTACAGATATGAGCCATTATTACCAAGGCCATGTGTCGACTGGAAGGGAGAGAAGAGGTAGGGAAGGTGTGGACAAGGTCCTCATAGCTTACCAGGCCTCGCTCTCTGATGAGGAGTAGGTGTGGTTGTGGATCCCTACATGTCCCCGTCCAATTTCTTGCTGGAACGGCTGCTGGCCCATCCAGATAATCCTTCATTCGCTGTTTACTCACTTGGCACCTCCTCTGAATTCTAAACCGTCTGCATCCAGCCGGCCTCTGCGGCCCCTGCCAGTGCACTCTCCCTAGCTCACTCACACATTATCTGTTTTTATTACAGTCAAGGTTGAGGAAGCTTGCTCGTGCTGAGCCCCTATTTTCAGCTGCTTGTAACTTTCCAAAACAATTCCCCTTGGGCTTCCTCTTTTGCTAGCCTAGTTCCCACCCTAGGTGAAGCCCGAGGGGTTGTGGGCACCTCCACAACTTTCCAAAGGACACTCAGAGAATGTCCAGAGGGCATGGGGTGGGGGTAGGTCCAAGGCCCAGCTTTCCTGGGAAATAAGTGCTGGTCGTTCTCCCTTCCTTCTTTTTTCCTTCTCGCCTATCTCAATTTCTTTGTCCTCTTGCAAGAGAAGAGCTGGCCCTGTTCCCAAGGTGGGTGGCCTGGAAGGGGGAGCCTTACAGTGGAAAGAGGTCAGGAAATTCTGCAAGATGGCAAGACCTGGAGCTTTGCCTGATTGTCTGGGGTGCAGGGTTTAGTTCACTGGCTTTCTATTCCTTTCTCCCCAACTCTGCCTTTCTGGCTTTCTTGTGTGTGTTGGGTTGAGGGGAGGGAGGGAAGCAGGATAGGCACCAAAAATGTCCCCCTTCCCATGCCTGGATCACCCTGGAGCTGGTAAGCTCTGCCCACTTGTAAATGCCTGCCATCTTCCCCCATTTCCATCTGCTCAGCATGCGCATGGAGGGTGCTTCCTATGGAAACCTGTGACTCCAGCTTTCACTGTTTCCCACCTTGAACGTCATCGGGAGCCACCAAAAGATGGGGGTGGGGAAGTGCTGGGGCTTGACGTGTATTGCAGAATCAGGTGGGAGGAGGCAAGCTCAGGATGGGGACGTGCTGGCAGATGTAGCCCCAACCACCCCCAGCAGCATTCTGCTTTATCTCCAGAGTAGTGGTTGCACCCTGATGAGTACCAGAGACAGAGCCCTGGGCAAGTCCTTGGGACATCCCATTTTCCTCCTCTTCCCACTCCTAGACTGTCCAGTGCCAGACACCCAACCCCCAACCTGTCCTGGGACCCTGAGGCCAGCCGAGCCTTTATCTATTGAGGGTGCTTCTCTGAGGCCAATGCCTGGGCCAGTGGAGGTGGGGAAGGAGCCCCAGGACATGTGTATGTGTCAGAGGAGTCTCTGAAGTACCTGGGGTAATTTGGGTATGGCTCTAACTGGTAACATTCTTGGGAGAGTGGGAGCCCTTTCCCTGACTGCTGTTTGTGTCCACTCAGGTTCTTTCTTCTTTTCTGTCTATTCTCAGAGTGTCTTATTTCAAGGCATGGCTCCCCTAGGGTGGAACAAGAGTAAGAGCCACAGGGTTTGAGGTCTTATAGACC